TAGAGATAGATTTACTAGTTTAAATTTCTTTTATAATTTAACTTTTATATTATATATTATCTAGAGAGTAAAGTAGTTAGACTAGACGCGTTAAGTTATATACTAGGTAACTAACCTATAAAGAATAATCTTACTAATAACTATATTAAAAACTAAATATAGATAATAGTACTACTAGAAAGATTTAATAAGAAGATTCTTATAGAGCTTCTTTAAGATACTCTACTAGACGTAGTAGTACTTATTCTACTAGCTATAAATAAACTAATTAATAACCTATTATAGACTAACGTACTTTACTATTAAACTAGTTACTCTATTAAATAACCTAAAAATACTAAGCTTCTACTAAAAAGCTACTATTTTATTTAGATTTCTCTAACTCTAAGCTACTTAAGATAAATCTAGATAAGCTATCTAACTTATCTATATTATCTTTAACTACCTAGCACGTTTACGCGTTATACTCTAGCTTACTATAGCGTCTATAGCGTTGCTAAGCTAGCTAGCTATTGCGTACTACTACCTCTTTACGCTACTTCTTACTCTTATTCTAATCTATAGTCTCTCTTTAAGTAACTAGCTACAAGCTAGCTTTAATTATAAGAGTATTCTCTTTTAAATCTACTTTCTTTTACGTAAATTAGACTTCTTTTTCTATACATTAGCTACTTAAAGCTAGGCAACTTTAGACTTTATAAGTACTAGCTAATACGCTATTAGCTTATTACCTTTCTTAAACTAATTAAGTAACTTAATAATATAAGTTAGTAATAAATTAAGGTGCTATATAATCTTTAATTAAATTAGAGTTAATTAGAACCTTACTTTAACAAAATTACTAGGTATTTTATACTTCTAGGTAGTAGTATTATTAGTAGAGAGTATTAGCGTACGTAATTAAACTTTAAGCTTTAATACTACTAAATCTAGGTTAAATAGAACTAAGCTAGCGTCTCTAAATCTTACTCTAATATTATTATCTATAATTAACGCGTAAAAAGTAATATAAAATATAAGTAGAAACTTAGTTTTTATAATATAGTTAATATAGCTACGTATTAGAATCTTAACTTAGTAGCTATATACTACCTTTAATAGTAAGAAGTAGCTAATATTAAGTAGCTATAGAAGGTATAATAAATATACTAGTATATAGAGAGCTATAATTTTATTCTTTTTATAGTACTACTAGAATTTAATAAAGCTATAGCTTTTATAGCTATTTAAAATTAGTAGGTAATATATACCTATAATATAACTCTTAGTATACGCGTTAAAGTACTTTAACTACATAATACTAACTTTATTTATTATCTAGCTACTTTTAGAGATAGCTATAACCTAGTTACGTAGTAGCTAGCTACCTTTATACTATACTAAGAGGTAGTTCTTATCTATAATAATAAGAAATAGTAGAACCTATATATTACCTACTACTCTTACTATTATAATTACTAAAATCTACTTATAATTATCTAGTTAAAGACTCTTTAGTTATAATTATCTCTTAGAGCTAGTAACTACTACCTAAGGTAATATTATTTCTATTATAAAGCTAGATTTATTAAAATTATACGTATCTTTATTAGTAATACTATACTTTACCTTTATATTACCTACTAGGTTAAACTATACCTAAATAATTATAGAATCTTCTTACTTTACTCTCTAATAGTTATACTTACGATTAAGCCGTGTTTTAAGCTTAGAATAATACGTAACAAAGCGGTTTAGCTAGTACTAGCTAACTACCTTTCTACTTTACTTAGTAAGTAGCTTATTAGCTATATCTTAAATAGTAGTAAGCTAAAAGGTAAATTCTTGCGCGTCTAGGTCTAGTATATACTTAACTATTATCTACTCTTTATTTATAGTAAGCTTTATTTAATTAGATATCTTTTTATATTATAAAGTAACTCTATTATATTAACTATAAACTTTTTTCTATAGTACGTTATAGAGAGCTATAGCGCGCCGTAAGCTTAGCTCTAGATTCTATTAAATAGTCTAAAGCGTAAGCTATATCTAGAATTCGTCTAAAGTTAATTAGGCGTTTATAGAGAGCGTTATAATAGAGATAGTAGTATTTAGTAGAGGCTTAGTATTTTTAGGTTATTTAATAAAGTAACTAGTTCGATAGTAAAGTACGTTATATATAAGATATTAGACCTAGTATAGAAAATAATTACTACGCTAGAGAACCTATTAGTAAAGCGCTAGCTAAAATATCTTTAAAGACTTCTCTAGATCTCTATACTTAACTATAGAGTCTAATAAAACTATATTTAGTATAGAGATTATATATTTATACTACTAAATAATAAACTACGTATATAGATTTTATACTATACCTATAATACTAGCTCTACTAGCTACTCTAGATAGGTTAAAACTATAGATCTTATCTATTATAACTACTAGTAGCTATAAATCTTCTATAATATTAAGACTTATATATAAGTCTACGCTATATATATAAGAATAAAGATATCTAGACTCTTACTCTAGAGCTTCTTAAAACTACTACTAGTTCTATTCTA